TGGCTAGAGTGTGGCTCTATTTACAAGAAAGTACAATTCATAACGTGAATCTCTCTTTCCGGTCCCAGAAACACAGGCGAGTGGTAGCAGTGGTCAAGTGATGCCAGATACATGTTAAGATGCGACGCCTGCTCAGAACCAGAACCTGAACCAGGACCTGGACTAGGACTGGAGCCAGGATTAGAGCCAGAACCAAGCCAAGCTCCAGTGTCATGGAGCAGGAGCAGGAGCAGGGGGCAGTGGAGTGCACAGTGAGCTGCTCCTGAGACACAGCGAGACACTGCGAGACACAGGGAGACACAGGGAGACACTGCGAGACACACAGTCTACTGAGCAGCGGCGGTGCTCCTCCTCTCCTCTCCCCGTGAAGCCCCGGCTCAAACGCAAGCCGTTCCTCAGCCTTCAGCTCTGCCAACTGGGTTAGTAGTGGCTCTGCCTCTCCTCTGGGAAAAGGAGGTTACTGTAACTTTCAAAGAGCAACCTGCGCAGCGCTAACAACTGTTTCCAGTGTACAGTCAATCAATGTTTTCTGCTGCACGGGGAGGAAAGAAAAAAAAAATCATTGTCCCATCATCGCTAACAGATATTGTGAATGATCACCTCATGAGACAATAAGAACTAATATGAACGGGCAGCTATGATGCACATGCTGTGGTATCCTACACAAAGCGCTCTTCTTATCGGAGCAAATGAACCAGCAGGCCTCTAGCTGTCTGGCGAACTGAGAACAGCCGCTGAAATTGCCCTTAGCGAAGGAAATCGGATGCTGAGGTTACTGTAACTACTCCACAGTAAATCAAGTAGGCCGTATCAGCTTTTGTCTCTCACCGGCACTTTCTGGGCACTAGCAGAAGGCCTACTGAAAACGTCCCTCCGTGTTTTGCCAATTTTACAAAAGGACTCGGTGCTGAATGGAGCTCCACAGTCAGTGCTCCGATATGGACGTGTACTGGCACAGCCCACTTTTCACATTTAAAACTCACACACGAGCACTCACATTACGTCAAGCCTTGAAAAAGGATACCGAAATTCAGGACACACTAAACAAAGGATACAAAAAAATCCTCCGATCAGCAAGAACTGAGCAAAGGATACTGAAATCCTCCAATCAGTAACCACTGAATAGAGGACTGTAAAACTCTCCAATCAGCAAGCAATGAAAAAGGAATTCTAAAATTCTCAAGTCAAGACATACAAAAAAAAAATCCTGGAACTCCCCAATCAGGAGACACTAAACAACGGAACCCCAATCAGGGGAAAAAGGGACCCTCAGTAAGAACAGAGCATAAAACAATCTGTCAGCCTGCCAGCTACAGCACAACCAAACAATTTACTCTGGTCACTAAGCGTGGATAATGGCCTGCCTCTTGTGCAGCTCTGCAGTGGTTCTGCACAGAGGCAGACCAGACCGCAATCAATTGACTCGGGGATCGTGCGGGGAGTGACGAAGCATCTCTTCAGCACAGGTGCCTGTAGCCCGACACAAACACTGCAGCACTGCAGTGGTGTTGGGCTTGGTCTGCCACCATATACAGCACCAGTCAAAAGTTTGGACACACCTGATTAAGATAATGGGAAACATGCATTCAAAGACATTTTGATCTAGACTTAAATGCTTAAATGCTTGAAATTTGTTGATTAGACAAATATAAATAGTGAAGTTGATGCCTATGAACTTTCCAAAAAAAATGTATTTTTAAGAATATTTTTGATTCATCATAGCAGGATAAAAACAGAGTTTTGATTTGTTTAACATTTTTTTGGTCACTGCATAATTCTATTTGTTATTTCATAGTTTTGATGTCTTTACTTTTATTTTAAATTGTGTTAAATAGTAAAAATAAAGAAAATCCCTTCTATGAGTAGGTGTGTCCAAACTTTCGACTGCTCCTGTACATCTTTATGAGGATTGCATCAGACATAAGAATATGAAGAAGCTGAGTTTTCTTGAATAGTCACATGTGTGTAATACAGTGTGTTGCAATGTCACTTGGGTACAAAACACATCTGCCAATGTCCAGTGCACATTACACCTTACAAGAGGGGAAAAAAATCCCAGTGCTATTCATATGCAAGGTAATACATTCTCAGACCTATACCACTGCCTGACAAAGAATGTGCAGTATGATTTGGGTCTGCAATATGATAGTCAAAATAAAATTAGTCCAACCACCCTGAAGAAACAACCAATATTTCTGGTTAATATTTCACAGCCTTGCTTCCCAGCCCTGCTCACATCCTGTTTTCTTGAAAAGCACTTGTCAGATGGTTATACATTAAATGCATCCTGTTTAAGGCAAGGCACTATGGCCATCCTGCTCTCTCACAGGGATTATATGAGGACTGCGGGGAGGAAGTAGTGCTCCAACAGCCAGGGATCAACCCTGCTCCTGACATCTGTGTACACAACCTCGAATCACCTGTCTCTCTCTCTCTCTCCCTCCCTGCCTCCCTCCCTCCCTCCCTCCCTCACACACACACACACACACACACACACACACACACACACACACACTTTAAGTTAGGTATTTGGTATCCTGATACCCATAAAGCTACCCATGTAGTGCATAAATCAGGGTCTCTCTGGGAGTTACTAAGCTCAGGCATAGTACATACATCACAGTCTCCCTGGGACTTTCAGGCTTAGTACCGGATTAAGCAGGAAACCTTGACTTCCAGCTTGCGCCGATGGTTCAAAGGTCAACCCAAGACCAGCTCTAACAGCACATTACAGTAATTACAGTGCACTACATGACCTACCCGCTTGGCAGGTGTCCTCACCTGGGAAGGTGTGCATTGTTTACATTTCTCAAATCTTCCACTCAACATGTCTGAATATTTACTGAAGCACTTCAGGTTAATTACCCTGCTCAAGGGCACCTCAGAGGTGCCCCACCCGGGGATGAAACCCGCAACCTCCAGGCCGCGAGCCCGGCTCCTTCAACGCCACACCACACTGCCAGCTCAGCCTGGCACCAAGCCACCGCCCAGAGTCACCTGTCCCCATCACCTGAGGACACACCTGAGCGCTGCGGCGCACACAGACTCTCCCACTACAGAAAGACAGAAGCCTCCCACACAAAAACACAACACGGAAATTAACAGAAAGGATTGCTTTTCCTCCCTGTCCCTCAAGCTTTTCTCTTCATTAGCCTGTGCAGGAGAAGCAGGACCTCCGTATGCTGAGTCATAACCTGAACAAAGAGCAAGAGAGGCCTGCAGCTTTTCCACTCTGAAAACAAGATGGCCGCACCGAGTGCATACAGGGCGAGTGGCAAAGAAAGAGACGCAGAGAGAAAAGAATATACGTTGCTACTGTGGCTTAAAGACACAATACAGCACTGCAGTGTGACCAATCCATGCATAGAGGCTGCTGTTTAGGACAGCGCTTGTGAGTATCAAAGGCCCCAGAAAGAGACTAACATTAACCAGGTACACAACTGGGGATCACGGTCTTGTCATTGATCGAGGATTGGTTGTGCCAAAGAGAACAGGCTGTGTAACCGCTACAGCCTGGGAGAGGTTGAGGCAAAGATGGGGCAAAACTATAGCTTTGCATACAACGGCTAGTTTGTCATGCAAATAGAGAAGTTTTAACCTGCACTTGACAGAGCAATGAGAGAGAGAGACAGAGAGAAGCGCATGAGAGAGAGCGAACATCTCAGGTCAGTGTCCTGCCGTATTAAGTTAAGGAGACACAAATGTCATTTGGGTGTACTGAATGAAATCAATTTACTGACCTGTTTCATAAGACTGCACTCTAAGCACATCTGAATGATTTGGTAAATGGGTGAAATAACGGGATTTAATGCTTAATGTGATTAAGGTGCATTGGGGGTTATTAAAATTAAACAAAACAGAACGTGGAGTCATTGCGAAAGGGCATGCTCATAAGCTGTCAGAGGGTACATGAAATATCTGAAAAATGAAGCAGAAACTGAAAGCAACAGATTTACACAACAGGACGTCCTTATGTCTTACTAGCAGTGACAAATCAATCAAGCCAGAAACTACATTTTGATTTCCATGTTGAGCAGGGGGAAAAAACTTATTTGAAACAAAAACTAATTTGCTGTTCCTATTAGTAGCCAAGCTGCAAATACTAGAGGGGGTCTCACAGCTAATGAATTCAGTCATCAAAGTTAATAAACTCACTCAGAATCATTGGAACGACTACTGTATATTTAATAGCTCTGGTGGGGAAGGACTTAATGCACATAGCCACTGAACTACATGCAATACGGTCCCGATGGTCCTAAAAGACAACATACAGGAGCAGCCCAGGAGTGCGCCATCTCCAGCCCAATATCTCAGTGTTTCCAGAGGCAGAACGTTCCCCTCAGGATTGTAGTTCTGTTCCCTGTATGAGACTGAAACAGTCCTCCCAACCTCACTGTACATGAGAATTTGACACACTACAGCCACACAGCGTGCCCAGCCAAAGTATGCGCGAGGAGAAACCTAAAAACTAACTGCAAGGAAATTCAAAATAAAATAATAAAAAATAAACAGGTTGTCCAACTAAATGTACAACGTACGCAAATATCCCTGATCACACTGAGTTTTGACTGCTTTACAATTATAATTGCTATGTCCAGCACCTTGGTCTATTCCGGTGTATAGGACTTGTTGATTTTCAGGGACTTCATCTCCTGTTCGATCAGGTTATTTCCGCTTACACCAGTTTGCTAACCTGGGGTGGTGACTGTGTGAGCACACAGTTTAGTCTCACACTCAATAAACAGACAAACTTGAATCCTTTCTGAATGCTGAGCAGCTGTGATGGGAAAACTAGGTCATCAGTTCTGCTCTATCTCCCTAAAACGCAGGGAAAAAAACAAGCTTGCTTGACTCTGTACGCTGACAAATTCCAGTATCCTAGCGCATGGTGTATTCTGAAAGACACGTCAATGATTATTCCTTCCCAGCAGATAAGGAAAACCAAGATAAGCAGGTGTATGCTAAAGTATGAACAGCAAAGTGAACGCTATCAATGGGGCGGCAGTGTAGCATAATGGTTAAGGAGAGGGACTCGTAATCAAAAGGTCGCTGGTTCAATTCCCCGCTGGGGCACTGCTGCTGTTCCCTTGGGCAAGGTACTTAACCCACAATTGTCATATATTGACAATGTCATATATTAGTGACTATGTGGGATTAATGGGATATTTCTACAGGCTTGCAAGTTGATGCTGCGTCTCTGCACTGAATGCGCATACCGTATTCCAGGTCTGTCACTTGACAGTGCAGTGACAGTGCAGTTTTTTCTTAAACAGAAACTCTCCCCAGTGCAGGCTACAGGAACAGGCATATTCCTTGTGCACAGAAGAGACCGTGTAAAACAACGCTGTCCTTAAAACTGCGTGCGGCGTGTAAATCGCCCTGCGCTGGCTGGGTGATGATTCAGCGTAGCTGACAGGCCTCCAGGCTTCAGTTTCACACAGGCCACAGAGTTCCGGCAATGTCGCCGGCTTTAGGCTGCTCTGCTGAGGTACCGACCTGAGGGAGCCCCACTCCTGAAATCTGTCCCTGGGACTTGCGACCTCAGATTGACAGTTCAAAGAGGGGAAATTACCCTGGGCAGTGACTGGACTGAGCTGATAATATTCATCTTGGATCCAGAGAGGGAGAAAATAGAGAGAGGCAGGGAAAGAGAAAGAGAGAGAGAGAGAGAGAGAGAGAGAGAGAGAGAGAGAGAGAGAAAGGGGGAGAGGGAGAGAGAGAAAGAGAGAGAGAGAGAGAGAGCAAGAGAGAGAGAGCGAGAGAGAAAGCGCGAGATAAAGCGCAAAGAGAAAGCCAGAGTAGGGGAGAGAGGAAGAGACCTACGATTCAGGCCACAGGGAGACCACTGCACAAGAATTGGACAGTCAGGACGCCGTCAGACGGAAAATACCCAGTGCCGCAGCTGTGCACTGCGTGTGCGGCTCGGATGGGCGCATGCGTTTCCCATCGCAGGCCCTGCCTCGCGCCGCGGCCCTGTGTGAGCCGCTCGGTGTGACGGCTTAGCGCGCAGCGGCTTACCGTGCATTATTCCAAATAAAGGGAGCTCAGGGCCTGCCTCCCCCCCTCCCCCACCCCCACCCTGTCCGCCTCGCCGCTGAATGACCATGTGACCCAAATGCGCGGCGTGTCCGTGGCCCCGGAGAACACAGGGTCCCTCTGATCCTCCCGGGGGCCCATTGTCCGGGCTCAGTCGCCGTGGGAACCGGCAGCGGCCCCACAGCTGCAGCACGAACACAGCGTCTCAGGGGCGGGGGGCGTTTACGAAACGCTTCCATGCTGCTCCGCTCCCGGCTGGAAGGAGCGTTTTAGAAAGACGCACGCACAAGAGGCCTGCACACTGCTACGTCGCTACACTGCTTACTACAGTAATACAGCTCTACAATACAGCTCTATCAATTTTTAAATATCCATCATTATTAAACATCTATCTATCATCTATGCAAGATCTAACATTATTAAATAAGGTGAAGTGGATACATGGCAGAGAAGCAGCAGCAAGGGTTTGCATTAAAGAACGCCACACATGTGCTGCATTAGAGCTGAAACGCATGCAGCCTCAAAGTAGGCTACTTAAGGCTTCGGGGACGATTGCACAACGCATGTTATCACAGACTCACGTACCCCGGTCAGGAGATCAGAACAACAGCGCCAAAGCCCAGGCCATGCAGAATGGATTTTATCCGCTTTTTCAGGGGTCGGCCAAACAAACGCTCCTGAGCCGTTCTCCCGCAGCAAGCTAACAACACTCAAACCCTTATTTTTTTGTTGTTGCTGTTGCCATTATTCCGGTTTCTTATATAAATGGAGGAGCCTGGGTAATCCTCAGGCCTGCGGTATGTGGCATGAGGAGAATCAGGGGATCTGCAGAGAGGCAGGACTGAAACGGGGGGTTGAGGGGTGAGAGAGTGCAGTTTGGGAATCTATTTGCAGCCGAAACCGAAAGCCGGGCCCCTTCTGACACCTCCGGACGAGCGGCGTCTCGGTCTAAGACGCGGGTCAAAGTCTTCGCTATGGGGCCGGCTCTTTAAACGGCGTCTACGGCGCAAACCACAGGTGGCATCTCTGGGATCTGCTCAACAGGTTTTTCCTGTTGGAATGCGCTGGAGTGGGGGACCAGCACAAACGGAGGCAGGAGGGCGTCCTTACAGAAAGAGAAAGAGAGAGAGAGAGAGAGAGGGGGAGAGAGAGAGGGAGAGAGAGACCTCGGCGCCGCTAATCTGTCCCCTGAGAAAAGACAGCGAGTGGCGCCTGCCACCGAGCCGGCACCCCCCCTCCCCCTCCCCTTCCCCCTCCCCAGCTCGGTCTACGCACCCGAAAAACAACCCAGCGACGGCTGGGTCCGCAGCGGACCGAGGTTAATCATCGACAACCGGCGTGACAACCGCGGGAGGGCAAGGGGGAGAGAGAGAGAGAGATAACATCGCTGCGGAAACGGGGAAAAGGGGGACTGCGACTGCGTTCGCCGCGTCGTTATCCCTCCGGGCTCCTCTGCGTGCGCTGGCCCAGCGGCGGCTGCAGCGGCGCTCAGTGCGCAGGCAGCCAGGCGGCGGAGAGGCGGGAAGCAGCCGAGCGGCTCCGTCCCGGCGGAGGAGAGGAGAAAGAAAGGAAGAAAAGGGAACAGCAAAAGGGAGCGCCTCGTACCTCTTTTAGGGATCTCCTGCAGGGGGATCTCGTCCCCTCCCCCGTCGTAGGGCAAGTAGGGGTCAGCGGACATTTCCACGGCGGCGGTCGTTAAGGGGGCTGAGCTCACGGCGCGGCTGCTGCTGCTGCTGCTGCTCCTGCTCCTTTATCAGCGCTAGCGGAGGGGAGGGAAGCTGCCATGTTTGCCAGCCATCCAGAGACTCCGTGCGTGTGCGCGCGGCGTGTGCGTGCGTGTGTGTGTGTCTGTCTGTGTGTCTGTGTGTGTGTGTGAGCATGCGCGCGCGCACTGTGCACCGTGCGCCGGGACGGACTGCCTCACTGCAGCGGCTGACAGCGAAGGGATGATGATGTCACCACAGGAAAGACGATCGCAGGCAGGCCCGGTTGCTAGGGGCGACAATCTAGCCTGACTGGATGAGCGCACAATGGCAGATCGGGGGCTGGCCGCGGTAGCAGGCCGCCCGGAGCAGCTATGGAGCGCGGCGGCTATTCTTAGGATAGCGGATAATGCAGCGATCTGACAGAACGGCCACTGATGGCTGCCGAACCCTCACTTTCATCTGAAGAAAACAAGCGGCTACCTCTTACCTCTTACAGATTTTGCTGGTCTAAACCAATGTATTTAAGAACAACAACAACATAAAAAATACAGGATGCATTTAAAAAAATACAAAGGAAAGAGGGGAAAAGGATTTAATTATATCTCGTGGCAAGCCCTGTAATGATCCTACAAATGAGCCACCGGAATCCAGTCTGAGGACATTTTACATACAGTTCCAGTCCTTCACACCTGCTGCAGCAGGTTCATTTTAGAAAAAGAGCCCCATACCTAATGCAGATATAACATAGTATACTAAACAAGCTGTAATTGCTGGCAGCTTGTTAATGTGGCCATAGAAAGTTCCTGTACATTATGCATATGCATTAGAATTGGAATCTGATCCAACTGTAGAAACAGCTGACCAGCACCCGTCTGGTTAGAACTAGTGTTCTGGACTAGTGAGTTACAGGTTTGAATCCATGGCACAGTATAGCTGTAAAACATATTTGCCTGGTGCCTGGTGAAGCAGCTTAATTTCATAATTCTGTAATTCACAGTGTACTGCACGCTGTCGTAAGGAATATTATCTCATACGCAGACCATGCCTGTGTACCTTTTTTTACACAAACTGAATGCAGCCCAGATGTCATGTACAGACTTAGTGCTGTTCTGTACACAACCTGAGTGAATCCCAGATGCCCTATACAGCCTTACAGCGGCCCTGTGATTAAGTGTATAGAGTTCCATGCCTCCCAAACCAATGAATGGTTTTCACAGGGTTTTAAAAATAAAAATACTCAGTGTCTCATAGTCAATAGTCCCACCCTGTCACTACAGCCAAGCAGCTTGATTTCTGTCATGTCACATGGGACATTATGCCCTACCATTACATTATTGTCATGTAGCAAACTCTCTTATCCAGAGCAACTTCCATAGGTTACTATTTTACATATTCTCCATTTACTCAGCTGGATATTTGCTAAGGCAATTCTGGGTTAAGTATCTTGCCTATGGGTACAACGGCAGTGCCCCGGTGAGGAACTGAACTGGCAACCTTTTGGTTACGAGCTCTGCTCCTTACCACTATGCCACATGGCCGTCCGCTAGGGTGAGAATCCATCATTAGCCTTGGAGATAAACACAGACCCGCCCCAAAATTACATACCCTATGCCCTTCCCTGATGGGAAAACACTGAGTCGCAGTTTTCATAAATAAACCAACACGTGTGAACTCTGGTTTGGGACCTCTGACAGCTCAGTATGGTAAAACGAGCTCCGAGCTCATCGATCACTGAGCAGAAACAAGCTGAGCAGGAACCAGGGAGTTTGTGCGGAACTGAAACAAAGGAGCAGCAAAGGAAACATTCTATGGAACATGCCATTATGACACGCAGACAATACATTAAGATCAGACAGGAAATACTTTGGGATTTTCAGACAGAGCGACAAGCATTTCTTGTTTGATCTTTGCATTTTGTTTCAAAAACTCTACTCAACATACTAATCAGTCAAATACCTTCACATCAGTAGGCACTACTACTGCTGCTGGAACTACTGCTAACAACCACTACTGCTAACTAATCTTCCGCTGATGGGAATGTGTGTCTATTGCGGGCAGATTTGAGAGAACCTTCCACACACTCAGTGACTATCCTACCTTCCAGCACCGCTGCTGTTGCCAGGATACGGTACAGGACCAAATGATGTCACCCATCTACTCGTCCCCAGGCTGCTAGCGACCGGAGGAAAGCCAGCAGCTTCGTGCCACAGCTCCACGGCTGCGGGACGAGGTGGTGACGGCAGTAATCCTCAAATCGGCGGCTCGCTGCGGCTCCGAGCGATACAGCCCTGCCGAGCTCCCCTCCACGGCGCTCGGCTCTGACACCGAG